ATAATATTCAGATATATCTCAAACTCAACAGATTAAGCCGAGCAATAAAGCGATCAATGTCAAGCTGGGACTATCGAAAGTCGGGCGTGTATTCGATCAAGGTCTTTTATTAAATGATGGCTGGCCAAGTTTCTTCGCGTTACCGTCTAAAACTAATATCTGTTCTTGTGGCCTCTTGCGCCTATCACACTGATTGAAAAAAAAGGCCCTGCACATAGTACCACCACAAGGTTGTTCGTCCACACATGGACTGCAGTCCTGCTCCAGAACCTGAGTGTTGCGTGTGCATCAGTTTTACAGATCTGATTTACTTGAATGCAGACTGCTGGTTCCTTGCCTCTCAGGCAGATGCACTCTGACTTCAAAGGAAGCTACCAATTAGTCGACTCTTACGAACTGCCTTTTTGGTAGGCTGTGTGTCTATTCTTGTTTTCCCCCCACAATGGGCTTTGCGCCACGCGTAGCAGCGCGGGAGATACTCTCAGCGGTGGCGGTATAGTCGCTGGAAGTCTGCAATTAAGTCGCCGAAAGTTCGCAATTTACATGTGACTGAGGCCCTGTCAGGGTGTGTTTTTTGACCGCCCAATGTTTAATATGATGTAATGCTTTGTCTATAATTACGCGTAGTGTGGCTATCTGATTGTTACAAAAACCTGCCAGTTGATCCTTGAGCTGTAAATTAATGGCATCTTTTAGTCCCCCCCCCCCCCCCAAAAAAAAAAAAAATAATAATAAAATAACCAGAATAACATTTTGTCAAGGAACAGATAACACAAGATATCTTTCACTCCAGTCTGCTGGTAATTCTTTGTGCTTCAAAAATCTACTGAATAATTTCTTTTGCAATTCTGTAGATGCATTTATACTGGCTTTAATAAATTCTGCTGGGATATAATCGAAACCCTTTTATTCAGTAGACTGAAAACTTTCCCATTTGCCTCATTAGATGGTATCTTATGTTGATAGCCAGTTTAATTTCTAAAGGTTAGAAATCTGGAAGCACCTTTGAGTCTGGTCTATTCAGATGTTTTAAAATATTCTACCATCTCTCTGTGAGATATTTAATGTTGATGAGAACCTTTCTTCGATTTTTTTGGGGGATTGATATTTACCCACTAACAAGTCAGAACTACAGTTTTAGCATATGGCTGTGAATTATGGATACTCGATAGGCAGGCCAAACAATTTCTTGATGCCTCAGAGATGTGGTTTCACAGAAGAATGCTTAAAATACATTGGGCAGTCAAAAGAGCAACCAAATATGTTTTAAAAGAGGCTGGAGCCTGAAGATAACGTATCAGGGACATCAGAAGGAGACAGTCATCATTTTTACGCCATGTTTATTCCCACCCTATGCTATCAGTGCCAGACGTGGTCCATGAAACATAAGAAAATAAGTACCCATGGAAAATGAGGTGTCTGAGAAAGACTCATACGAAATAAATAGGCGCAGAATCAATTCTAAATTACATACAAAGACAGCAGATCAAATGGTTTTCCCACTTGAAGAAAAGGCCTTCTGATGCTGGCATATACCAGGCATACATCAAAAGAGGAGAAGGACGTAGAACAAGAGGTAGACCAAGAACAACATGGAATGATAACATTAGAGAAACCCTACAGCACTAGGATGTGTCTATGGTAGAAGCAGCCAGAAGAGCACTGACAGAACCCCTTGACACATGAGACGGTAAAAGAGGACTAAAGAAGAAGCAGAGGAGACGAAGAATAATGTGCTAAATGACAAATAGATTTAATCAACTTTACATAACATGTTAGGTTAGTTGCGTAACCTTTACATGACGTTGCAGAACCAAACCCAACAGCTCCTGTCTTTTGTGTGGTTTTTCTTGGCAAATTTACGTCTAGTTAGTTAGCTAGTTAGTTAGTTAGTTAGTTAGTTAGTTAGTTAGTTAGTTAGTTAGTTAGTTAGTTAGTTAGTTAGTTAGTTAGTTAGTTAGTTAGTTAGTTAGTTAGTTGGGTTATCATCATTGCACTCCGGACATGTCCATAGATGCTCAGATCCTCCCCTCAGTATGAACCCCAACGTCCGATGGCTAATAGTACCAGTTCTATGTTGATTAACAAGTCTTCTGACGTGTCCGGTGTGCGTCTCGTTTTTTGCTGTGCCGATCTTAATTCCCAAGTCTGCCATTCTAGCGAGTGATGTGGACTCACTGCCACCAAAGTCCTCTATTCTTCCCATTTCTCAGAGGGCATTGATAATATCAGCATGATCCATAGGCCGACCGTCGGTAGTGATAGCGGATCCAGCCAACCTGTCAGCTCTTTCATTTCCATCGACGCCTGCGTGTCCCGGAACAAAAATAAAGGTGACTCCACGCACAGTGGACTTCTGAAGTGATTCAAGCCATTGTCTTCGCACTGAACCTGCCTGAACCCTCCGGATCATACTCATTGAATCACTGAGAATACATATGCGGGTGTATTTTTGTGTTTCGAGCCAGGCAAACGCTTGCGTCACTGCCATCACCTCCATCGTCATGCTGCTGGTTGTTATGGAGAAGGCGCCGTTGGCTTCTTTGACTGTTCTGCCCGCTGAGCGTGCTGTAAACGCCCATGCGCTTCTTCTTTGGCGTATAACGGATCCGTCAGTATAGATTAGTGCATCTGCTTCGTCTGAATTTTCACCGATAAGAGCGTTGACCTCTGCATTAACAGCAACAGGATTCTCTTCTCTACATCGCCTGTAGAGTGTGACAATACAGGAAAATGTACAAATAAACGCCTGAGGCAATGGTATCCATTCTGCACCAGGTATGATGTCGGTTAGGCTGCATATTTGCCTAATAACATCTTCTGCCCGACCTAGCCACGATTTTTCCCTTTTCAGTCTGTCGCCCTTTTCACTAAAAAGCGCTTGATGCAGTGGGTGTTTCTTATCAGCACATATTTTGAGGTATGCCTGAGCCCTCCACATCCTGATCCTTTAGTTCATTGTTGGAAAGTCAAGTAGATACCCCATTGCTCCACAGGATGTGTCTCTTGTACATCCCAAAATAATGCGCATGGCTTCATTTTGCACCTTTTCGAGTCGTTCAATCTGGGTAGCACTGACAGTGAGGATGGCCAGAGCGTATTCAATGGGGGGAAAGGACCAGACCGTAGAATAGAAGTATTAGTAGTCTTTGCTCGATATTGGAAGCAGCCATAATCCTCATTGCAGATAGACCTTTGCGTGCTTTTGTTATCACATGGTCAACGTGTTCCCTGAATGACAAGCTGCGATTAACTTGAAAGCCACTGTCCGCTTGTTGACCTCATCTTTCAGACTGATCAGGCGTTCAGAAAGTGACGGATCAATTTTCCTTGCCTTTTGCCATGCCTTGACAGCGTTTCTTTTTTTCTAGCCACGCCATGTTGACTACTTCATTCCACGATGGTGGCTGGGCCCATCTCTCCCGCCGTCTGCGATCTGCTCTTGTTTTACGTCGTCTGATTTTGCTAATGACATCTTGCCCTGTACGGTCATATATAAAAGCAGGCACATTGATTACATGACCTTTGTTGTTGCTCTTCTCCACCAGGACGACGCAAGGAAAGTGATCACTGTCATGGTATACCAGTGTGCTCCACCTGCATCCTGATGTAATGGAGGGAGACAATAGGGCCAGGTCAATTACGCTGTCAGAATCCCCTTGTCGGGTTGCCATTCGGGTAACCTTTCAGTCGTTCAAGCATACTAGATCGGCAGACACTAGGGCATCCTCCAGGTCTTCCCCCTGTTTATTGGTGATTACATTGCCCCACTGGTTTCCTCTGGCGTTGAAATCTCCGCAGTAAAGGACTTTCTTTTCCTCAGTCTGGAGCAAACTCTGCCATTTCGCTGTATCCACCTTTCCATTGCAGGCGTACACATTGACAATCACAAACTGGGCCGGGCCCAACACTCTGACTGCGTGTACTTGTAGGTCGTCATTATCCCACTCAGACATGTCCACCTCAGACACCAGTATGTGGTCACGAACAAGAATGAGCTGTCCGAGGTGCCGTCTATTGTAGAAGGATTGGAAGCCCGCAATTTTAACGATCTCGTCACCGAGGTGTGTTTCCTGTAGGACAACAATGTCGTTGCTGTAGAGGAGCTTCTCGAATATGGGTCGGCGTTGACTGAACGAAGCGCAGTTCCAGTAGAGAACGCGAACATACTTTAAGCTGAGTCTCTCACATTTCAGTCGCTTCCTGCAGGCGCCACCGTGCTTGCCTGTTCGCGTTCTCCTTGTCCGTCTACGGGTTGTTTTGAATTGGTAAATAGTCGCCATCGGACTTTGAATACACCCTGAGGGAAGTCTGAACTCACGTGCATGTACTCCGATGAAACTTTCACATTATATGTGAGCGAAAATAGTTAATTTGCGCCATTCGCCTCAACGGTCGAAAAAGCGTACCGCCATTGTGGCTGTTTCTAGTAGTTTGCCATTGCCTCTGCACGGTCGGCTTTCTTGATACCACTGTCGAAACCAACGCAAGGCGCATGGCCCGCAGCTGGGATCGAACCGGCATCCCGGCATTACGAAGCGGTCGCATCGACTTAGCCACAGAGCCAATACATAACATGACACACATTAAAATATTTAAAAAAAAAATATTTATACATGTATCCCAACTACCTTACTTTTCCATATTGATGCCTGTTAACTCTCCCCAGTCTCTTTATTTTCAGTCAGTGCACCTAAGGCTACTATTCCTTAGCCACCCCCCCCCCCCCCACCCCAATTTGATCGAGGCAGCTACGGGTGCTACCGCGTGACCGCCTCGGCAAAGGGTGGAGGGTGAACGGTAGCGCCCAATTTGTGAAACTGCCTCACATGAACTTTAAGACTAGCAGCGCGGAGCTGGATCTAGATTTCATACAGAACTGTGATATCGAAAAGTCTACACACAACAGGATAAAACTAAATGAAGGAATCGACTGCGTGTCCAATGTAACGTATAAACGACGCAACAGGATGATGATGAATAAAGGTCAAAGATCAAAGATGGACGTCGTCGTCGTTGGTAGCTGTAATACTGACTTGTCAAGGTAACACCTGAAGCATTAAATTTGTATGTACAAAAAAAAAAAAAAAACTACTCCCTTTAAAGCAGGTATATTATACTTTCTGAGTTTTTTTTTTTTTAATTTTGAAAATCGACCTACGTTACTTTTGTTAGTTGTCAACTTATCTTATCATTTTCACCCTACTGCTGCTGTGCACTTACTATTAAGGGACTCCTTGAGTATGAAAGTACATGAGGCAGGAGAAATGACGAGAGACCGAGTTTCTTTCAGGCAGACCGTGATGAGAGCCACGTTCTGCAAATAAACCTGCTACATGATGATGGCAACTACACCTAGCTACTTTAACTCTTTGGGTCTCAGGGAGTTTAGCATCAGAGGCCCAAGGGGTGGTAGTGCAAATTTTTTTTTTTTTATTTCACAAGTGTAACACATTAAAACAGACCGTACAAATTCAGTTGCACATACACATATTATACATTAAAGTGACCAGGGATTGGTGAGGAATAATTATAGAATACAGCTACAACAAATAATTAGGTTAGTAATTAAATATTAGTAAATAAACAGACAGTATGTTTATAAAAATTGGTAAAATTAAATTAAAAACTGTCCACTTACCACCATGGCACTCAAGGAAAACTGGTAAAAATATATCCAAAATGTATCACAAATTAATAAGAACCACTTAGTAATGTATAGGTAAAATATAAACTCAATCTCTGCATTAGATTTTGTTCCAGAGAATCTTTTAAAGCATCATAACAGAGCCCCATAATTTGGTAAAAAAAACTGACTCCCAAAACAGTAAGTATCTTTACACAAAATGAAGTTTATATAACACTCAATTTTCCTGTAATTTTGTAGCTTTGTTTCTTAAAAATAAGGGAAAAAGCACTAGAACTAACTGACAATGAAGAAAATTGTCTTTTCACTAATTTTTATTCTATTTGTACCAGCTGACTTTTCCATCATTGTACCCTTCGCCTGAGGTACACATTAGACATTACCCCATCAAAGTTTGACTCTATGAATGACTGAAACACGTCTAATTCGCAACTTCGGATAAATCTAATTAATACATACTTTATTTAAATTTGAGGCTTCAAAAGCCATAAATCATATTTGCATGCATGTAGAATAATGCTTGATGGCCATATTCTTTTTAAACAAACACTTAGTAACTTTGCAAACCTTGCAAATACATGATATTTTCGGTTTCCAAACCATGTTTCTAAATGAGCACCCCTGATATCAGACAAAGAACTCAAAAGGAAGTTGAAATTGAGCTGTCCATTTTTCATGACCAGGTCAGTGGTAGATTAAAAACCTTCACTTGTCACACGTCGATTGGGCCGCCCTATTGTAACAAATTAGCGCATGATGCTCCCTGGGACTCAAAGAGTTAATACAATTTTATAAATTATTTTTAAATAATGCAACTAACATAGATGGATTCCACTTGGATAATGAAATCCAACAGTACCTCATCCAAGCCTGTGCGCCAATAATGAAATCCAACAGTACCTCATTCAAGCCTGTGCACCAATTCTAAGCCTAGATATTTATTTGGAAGTGTAAATTATGTAAATAATTAACTCTTTCAAGCCCAATTAACCCTCTGGAGACGGAGCCTTTTTGGAGTTTCAGTGCCAAAAAGACAAAGCCTTCTGAGGGGACTCATAGTTTACAAAACAATTATTAAAAAAAAAGCGTTTAATTACCATGTACAAAATTATATATATTCATGTAGGAAATTGAATGAGCTAACAGAATATTTATGAATCGAACTGAAATCTCAACATTTTTTCAAATTAACTATTCTTTTTATCATAATTTATGCAAGCAAATTTTTCTAAACTTAGGAACAAACATGTTTATCCTATAAAAGTTGGGTGAATTTGTGAATTTGATTGGGCCTGTGAATTGGATGAAGCTTGAATAAGTCCTAACATTTGTGTTTTGGGAAGTAAGACCCCTCAGAGACTTCTGGCACATGGTTTTACTAATTTTCCTGCCTTCAGCAATGTTTCGGTTGCTTTGACACAATAGTCCTTTTCGCTATTGTAAGTCACAGTTAACCCAATAAAAAATTGACGTAAAATTACAGAACACATCAAACTTTCTCGAAAGTCGTCAATGAACAGCCCACATGTGCAAGAAATGCGAGAAGCAATCTGAATCGCTGTTACGAAAACCTGCCAACCAATCTCAAGGCTTGTATTACATATGGCTGACTGATCGGCCCAGTCATCCTTTTGGCTGCTTTGTCTCGGGCTAATATTTCGGCCGCGTCGTCTCCAAAGGGTTAAAAAAAATATTCGTTGGCTACCCAGTTGTTGAGTTTTATTTACAGATATTTTTACTCCTGACATCCAACAACAATTCTTTGCACAGGAGATGAATATTGCAATCCTTATGATCTATTTCACTGGACAGTAGTGAAGTTAGCTCAACTCTTTCAGTACCAGAATGTTTAACAGGAGATTCCAAAGGGACAAAATAATCATGATACTAAACTAAGAATGCATTACTTTCAAAGTGGCAATATGCATAGTTGTAGTGACCAATGGGTAAAGCAAGATCTCTCTAGTATGTTCTGACAAAATGGTAAAAGTAAGACAGCGCATTCTGGCTTGGAGGGGAATCATGAGGTAAATTCATTCACACACCAGGTGTTGATTGGGACTGAAAGAGTTAAATAAATTATAGATGTTACTTTATCATGATATTAGAACAATGAGAAATTATTACTTTATTTAAACTCATACTGATTTAAATCCAGGATGCACTTTTCACTAATTCTTTGTGACATCATGTAACACTTTCCTCTGGATGATTACACATGAAGGCATAGTCTATGCACTTTTTGTGAATTCAGTCCATAAGTGCTTGGGTAACATCCTCCTCAGGTTTTATTATGTCATCCTGGTTTACAGTAGCCATTTCCTCAAGCCTGTCATGATCAGCTTGTTCATTTATTTTTTACAGAATTTAAATTGATCTGTTTCTCTTGTTTTTTTCATTTTTTTTTTGGAAGGCAGGGATAGACATTCTGTGTGGTTTTCACTGACAGAGGAATGGAGCAAGTAGAGAGTGACCCGTTTGACAAGAAGTTGGAACTGTGATTAACTCAAATTGATCGTTGTCAGTCATGACTACAGAGTCTCTAACCAGACTGACGACCATCTTCAAGCCCAGTCTATCTCTATCTTCCTAAGCACACGCATTGCCACTTGAAAAAAAAAAGCCATACACAGAGTTTTTTTGCATTGTTAGTAAATTCCTCTGGTCTGTGTCCTGACTGATTTAATATTAGGGTTTCCATTATTGTCATTCTTTGTGAGTATCCACTGTCTTTAATGCAGTCAACCCGCTTCTTAGCAGTAGGCCTGTGTTGCTAACTTGTGCCACTGAAGACTGAACAAGATGCCTAAACCATGTCTTCTGATTCTCAGTGTATTTGGCCTTGCTTCTACAAAGCATATAAACTATGATGGAAAGAAACTAGAGAAAGCATGGCTTCTGTGAGGTAAACTGAGCAACATAGCCTTGGTAGTTTATAACAGTCAAGTTGACCTGTAATATATCTCAAGTTTTTAAACTGAAGATTCTGAGTTAGGCCAATACTTACTGTATAGGTCAACCTCCAGACATACAGTGGTTCAAAACTTAAACCTATCAGTTGAGTTGAATCAAGAATTGACATCACAGTACTTGAGGCATTCTCATGCATGCTCCATCCTCATCTTCAGCAGCCAGCGCAGAATTCCAGTACTAATGGTACCGGTCATAATCTGGTTATATGTCCGTCTTGCCTCTCCCCCTGAGTGTAATAAGCCGGCCAGACCCCTTAGTTACACACAGGTGCCTCATTCTCTCCAGGTCATTATGATCTTGTTTCGCTTATGACTCTGTTACTTGTTCCCAAAAGACCTTGACCATATATACCTTGTCATGCATAAATTCACCACCCAGTAGTGCAGATCCGGCCATTCTGTGTCTTTTGATTTCCCAACATATCAGCATTGCCTAGAGAAAAGATCCAAAGTATTCTCACTACTCGTGACCTTGCCAGAGAAGCTTGCCACTCTGCTCAAAGCATCCCTGTCTTCACCTTTCTCATGATTCTTTCGGAGTCTGTCACAATTATGGTATCATATGATAGGCTGTCCTGCACTAAAGATTTTCCATTGGCTTTTGCTATGAACCCAAGGCACTTCTCTTCCCACTCAACTCTGAATCATCTGTATACATCACTGATTCCCAAACTGTGCGCCACAGCGCACCTGGAGAGCCGCAGCCTTTTCACAGGGGCGCCGCAAAATGTTCGAAGATACACAAGTTTTATTTGTTTTGATCTCTTACATACGAATAGTCATAATTTTACTTAGCTCAAGGGATAACTACGCCAAAAAATGTTTTTTTTAAATTTACAGTTAGAGCAATTATTTTATAATGGTCATTAGAAGGGATACATGTTATTAAATATGCATACTTTAAATGCGAAAAGATAATAGTTGTCATGGCAATAACCGCCATTTTGTAAGAGAAAACATCATTTACTTAAAATCCTAAAATTTTAAAAACAAACATACTTATTAAAAAAATAGATGATATATTCTTGACCTCTGATCCTATTTAGAGGTACAGGTGTAGTTTATTTACTTTAAACATGTTTTTAAATATTTTTTGTCGAATTTTAAAATGTAGGATTATTGAAAAAGTCAAAAAAAATCTTGCATCGTAAGACAGTAATCAAATTAAAAAAAACAAAAACTTTCTAAAATCTACTTTTGAAAAGACCAGTCCCTATAATATTGTTTAAGGAGTATCAGTATAGTGACGCAACGGCCCACGACCCCTTGTTATTACAAAACTTCAGTGTGACATAACATGTCGTGGGTTCCCTGGATTTGGGTTTGAATTTTATATGTTGAGTAGGGAATTTTCCTCTCAACATATCCCCTCCACCAGGTTAACTGAACTAATATCCGGGCTATGTTGCTCTCAGACAAAGTCCT